CAGCTGCATCGATCGGCCATCTCGAGCTCTGCATCAATCGCCTTCGATGACGCTACGATCAACGACCACGACGACTCCGCTATAATCGACGACCACGACGACGACGACTTCGATCACTCGACCGATGCTGCGACTTCGATGACTGCTGAAGGAGAATACGTCGCTGATCAACACGGGAGTTTACGTGAAGGAGGTTCAGTGAATCGTCCGCGCCGTTCGTCGGTGGTTTCGTCGCTTATTTCTTTTGCCCCTTTTCTCCGGATCTGAGGTTTTCGCTGCCCTGTTAAACCTTCCGAAGTGGTTCCATCCTCTTCAAGTAACGAACGAGCCTAGTCTTCACTCAGCCCACAACCAGCTTGAGATTATCAAGAACTCACAGGCCCAGTTACAGAGCCATTCATTTTTTATTTGTTGAATTAAAACCAAACCCATCTGTTTTTAAATCAAAGCCTTTGCTCTGATACCAGTGTTTGAACTCAAGGAAGAAGAAAGAACAGATTTTTGAGGGGCTCCGGTAATGGGTAAGTGGGTTTTCTTTGATTTTCGTTGTGTTTTCTCAAGGAGAATGGTCCTCCTTATATAGGGGCTTAACCCATCATCTCTACCACTCAGATCCGCCCCCATGAGAGATTTTCTCTCAACCACCCACGATTCACGTTCTCCACCATTCTCTCAAACAGAGAAACCGTGGTTGATTTGGTCATCAATGACCGAGTCAAGCTAACACTGTCATTGCATGAGTATAGAGTACAATTGAGTTTGTACAATCACATGATTTCCATAAGTTACATGATAGGAGATGATTTCTTTCATTAATATTTGTCTAGATGTAGTCTGCTGATAAGAAAAAAAAAATTATGTTGCTGCGCATAATTATAGGATCAATGTTTTTTAACATGTTAGAAAATAATAAGGTGGATAATATTCTCAAAATTAAATAAATTGTAAATGATCCATTAAAGAATTAATTTTACCTTTTAGGTCAAACACTATATTCTGGTTATTTAAGTGTGAAATGGACGTGGAAACTCGGCAAGCTGCTCTGGGGCACCCAAAGGACTTTTGAGGAAGCATTCATTGTCCATAAGAGGTAATTAATATTTTATATTAGTTAATGCCTAATTATATATAATAGGACTAATGTATTAGCTTAAATTTGTTAAAGAGCTTTGTTACAGGGACCCAAAATATGAGACCAATAGGAGGGACGAGTGAGGTGTCCACCTCCTATTGGATAATGAGTTGGCAATCATTAATGATGACCAACTCATTATCCAATAGGAGGGAGACACCTCACTTGTTCCCCTTATTGGTCCCATATTTTGGGTCCTTGAGGAATTTTTCTTTGTTAAATAATGCAAAATTTTTTTACCAAGTGCATTAATTTTACTTAATAGATCATGGCATCCAGCAAAGTTCCAACAAAACAAACAAAATTTTGATTGGGAATTTTTATTTTAAAAAAATTTAACACCTATTTTTTCAATGTCACTAATAAGTTTATATCCTTATCTTTGGCCTGATTATATAAATACTATTGATCGCATTAATCTTATTATCATCTCCCCTATAATTTTTTTTTTTTTTTTTTTTTTTGGGGGGGGGG